AAAAAAAAATGTAATACTCCTAGTCACAAGAGTAAAAACTGTATGACCAAAATAAAAAAAAAAAATGTAATACTCCTGGCCCGCAAGAGTATAAATTGTGAACGGCTCAAAAAAAAAAAAAAAAAACCTTTGAACTACGTTTGACTTGATTCCCAAAAAGGGTACGTAGGCAGCTTGGTGTTTTTTCCAAGTTCAGTCAAATTCTTAAAATAAATTTAAGTTCGCTTTTGATTATGGTTCATTTCAAGTTTTCCAACAAAGGGAGAAATGTCTATGTCAAGCAAAGAAAGCAAAGCAAAGAGAACAACAAAAGTGAAGAAAATGTATCTTATTTATTCACAAAGTGGCTAAAGCCAAAATTTGACAAGTCTTTGAAAAGGAATGCTCAAAGTCTAAAAAAAGGGAAAGAATACAAAATGAACAACATCACATGTTGTTTTCAAACCAAGTTCCCTTTGCAATGGCTTCAAACTCAATTTCAAGGTCTTGTCGCATCCTCTCCACTTCAGCAACTGTCTCAACAGCTACAACTTTGGAGTTTTCCAACTCTATCAATTTTGCTTGGTTGGACTAGAGTTGTTCTTCTGCCGTCTGCCTCTTGTCAAGGAGCAAATCAAGTGTGGAAGTCACATCACTATGTTGCTGCTCAACTGATTCCAGCTCCTACTTCAAACTTTCAATCTTACTCTCTAAGGATCCCTTCTTCTTGGTGAGTTCATTGATTTCCTTTGAAAGAGAGTCATGGACGATCTGATTTGATGATATGCCCTTCTGTAAGGCAGCAAGAGATTTATCTTTTTCTTCAACATCCAAGCTGGTGGAGACCTCATCTCGTTTTGCTAAGTAAAGATTTACCTTAGATAGGTAAGTATCCATCGTCTTGAGTAAAGGTTCAACATCCATGCGGAAATAGAGTTGGAGTGCTTCTGAAATTGCAGAAGATCGTTCTGCCCACCACTATCCAAGCCCAGAAAAGCCATTCTGCAAGCCTCGTGAAAATTCCTCTTACACATAGTTGCTCATAGCTTTAAAAAGGATGGGCTTCACCAGTGCTTGAGAGCTAATTGGTTCCAAAGGCTTTGTGATGCAGGAGAATGTAGGCTTAAGTTTCAGTGGATTAGATGATGTCATGGCAGGAGGGTTAAGTCCAACGGTTTCCTTCACACTTGGTTGTTTGTCATGACAGTCAACTTCCCCATCTTCGGCAATTACTTGTTCACCAACATTTAAGGATAGAACTCCTCCATCAATTTGACTTAGAAGTGATCCAAGTATCTCAAGAGTGTCTGTCTCAAGAAAATCATCTAAAGCACCAATCATCTCTTCATCTCCTGGCAATCCTCTTAATTCTGGGGAGCTAAATATTTTTGAAAGAAAAAAAAAAGTCAGTACCAAAAGAGTTTTAAAAAAAAAAAGAAAGATTTTCTTTAAAAGGTGAGGAAACGTGCTTACCTTCGTACAAAGCTTGACGGGAGGTTTGCCGGGCAACAGGCGTAGAAAGTGAATGTTGTAAAGAGTCTGGCTCTCTTTGAGGACTTCTGTTGCATTTCTGCTTCTTTAAAGATGAACTAGGGTCTCTAGCATTATTTTGCTTCTGAGAAGGAGACAATAGTGCTTGAAGCTGTTTCCCCTTCCCTTGAGGTCTGATTACTACACTCTTCATTAAGAATGGGATGAAATTTCTTGCCTCGCTAGCCTTCAAGAATTGGATGCTCACTGTAGAAATTGAAGGAAAAACTTCTTCATTCCACCACTTCACATAAGCTAGGTCAACCCTAGATGCTACTCCACCTTCAACTGAGGGGATGTGAAGAAATGTGTTGCTATGTACTCGGGTTAAAGATAACCAAAAGCGATAAAGATCTGACACTTCACCACCGTGAGGCCATTTGACATGTCTTCCTGGAAGTCTTTGTTGAAATCCATGTTGTCTAGCAAATCGGTGAGAATTGTAAGACTTCTTTGTGAAGCGGCCTTCTTGGCAAAGCACCACATAACCTGCTCTGATGCTCACCATGAAATCTAAAGTGTCAGCCCGTCGTTGTCCATCATCACTCGAGGTCCAGGGTGGACTGGTAAAGGCACTAGAGTCTAACAAAAGTCGTCTGAGGATAAATTACCTCGTAAAACTAAACGACAATCTGCTACCTCTGGTTCCCAAGGCTAGTATGCATTCAAAATCCCACGAAATTGCCGAACCATAGGTAGAGAAGCTTCATATCTGGCTGCAAAAGTTTTGCAGGGGAAATGCAAACCAATCCAAGCATATAAATAATGTTTACGAAAAGGAGGAGTTTCAGTTGCATGTACCCATGAACCTTTAGGTACTTTTGTCAGTTGTCCAAGTCCACGATAAATGCATGCCAAGATAGGAGGAACCAAGCTATAGGTAACACCGATTGCCATTTGGGCTGCAGCTTTGAAAGTTCCGACTCTAACAAATTCCTCCCCATCTGGAAAAACAAATCTGCCAAGCCAAACACAAAGATAAGCAGCAACCAAAAGTTTTTCTCTATCATTTACCTCCAAAGTAACATCCAACATGCCAAGTCGATCCCATTGTTCTGGTACACCCCTTAGTTTCCTCTCATGTCCAAATGTCCATTTCAATGGGCGGTCAAGTTTAGGAACTAAAATCACATTTCCATTGCCATCATACTTCAACTCGGACATATCTAGATATCGTTTGCTCTTGAATGGATCAGCATAGGGTGGGTTACGATTATACCAGAAGTCGAGCCAATCAGCGTAAGTTACACGCTCAGAATTCTCCCTTTAGACGATCGTGGCAAATGCTTTAAACAGAAGTAAGCAGTAAGGTGATAAGTCCTTTGTGAGTTCTTTGTAACTTGGAATCACCTCCTCATAATATGCTCCTCGAATTGACAAGCCAGAAATATCTCGCATCTCCAGGAGAGAAATTCCAACCTCTCCTGCAGAGGTTAAAAAGGTATTTGTACTGGGAGACCATACCTCAATAAGGGCACGAAGCATACTCGAAAGACAACAATAGTCATTATTGGCCAATGACACTGCATCTGCTAAAGCTCCCATCTTGTAACGACTTACCATCTTGGCTGTGTAGTTTGACCAATCCCAGAAGCCACTTAGGAATGGTATCTTTCCCAAATGATCAATGGATTGACACCATTTACTTGCTCCTCGACCAATCGACTGTGTTACGACTGCTTTTGGTGTCGCATGTTTAGTCACATGATTGGATGGAAGCACCAAGGAGGGGAGAGATCCAGCATGGCTTGCTGTTGATGAAGCTTTTCCTTCCGAGGTCACATATTCACACAACTTGGGCATCTCTAATGCAGGTAGGTGAGAAAGTCCTTCGATGGCATAGGGACCACTGGTTGACTCAAGCACCATAAGTTGAAGCTCTTTAGCCTCTGATGAAGAAGAAGATTGTATGTGAGTTGACGGGAAGTGCAAGAATTGCCCTGCCTCTTCAGGGTTGGACGAATCAACAATCCAATCACCTTTCAACACTGTAACGGTAGAAATCATCTCGGAAGTAGGTCTTCGATTTGGAGCCATGTCTACATAAAGTCATACACAAAAGGCCAAATTATTCATGTTAAGTTCATGAATTAAAGACAAAGTAGTGCATGCAGCAAGAAGTTTGGGGCCAAGACTTGTTGAGTCTAAGAAAAAATGCTGCTCCAGTTGTTGCCTATGGAAAGGACTTGATTGGGGCAAATCACAAATTAAGTGACTAAATCGCAAAATTATAGAAAGTTGGAGGATAGCAGTAAAAAAAAGGGTTCAAGGATCGGATTGCAGTTTTGCCCAAAAAAAAAGAAAAAGAAAAAGAAAATTTTGCATTATTCTTGAAGAAAACCCGGACAACTTCGTATGCATGAACAGAGTGTTGACACCTTGATTTCCGTGTTGACCCTTATGTAAATGATTTTGATCCAATAATGCTGGACTATGCCGGAAAGGAGGCCCAAATGAAAGACTGCATTCGGTCAATTTTAAAAAATGGAACAATCTTCACTGGATTATATTGTGGGAAAATAGTGCATAAAATTCTTCAAAAAATCACAACATCTGGGTAACCAAATTTATAAAAAAAAAAATTTATTGCACCTTCAATAAAGTTAAAAAAAAAAAGGAGTCTGTGCCAACAAAAAAAAAAAATGGGTGCAGCGTTAAAAAGGGTCTAGTGGGAGCAGACAGAGGCCCTTTTGTTTTATGCACCATGCTTGATGTCATCATGGCAGCAAGACAAGAAAAAAAAAAAAAAAACTGGACAGCCAATAAGGTGAAGGATACTCACAGGATGCTGCAGCAATGGTGACAATGAAGAGTCAAGGTGAAACTACCCCAAAATTGCTCTAAAAAGGGAAAAGGTCGAACAGCTCCAAATTGGAGAATGTCGTCGCTGCCGTCGCACTGTAAAGGAGGCAAAACTCTGAAGCTCTGCTCCTGAAGCTCTGAAGCTCTGTTCCTGAAACTTTGAAGCTTTATTCCTGAAGCTCTACTCCTGGCTGAAGACGCTGTTGTTGCGTTTGCTCTCCCAAAAGACTCAATTTATAGAAGCATCAAGATAGAGTTTGGATAGAAGTTAATCTGAATTTTTCTTTAAAATTCAAAGTCCTATTTCAAATATAAGATTGATTTGTAGATAAAAGGATGAGATATAGCTAAGGAGAGGGTTTTTGAGTTTGGAATGAACTTCCACCAACGGATGAGTGCCAAAAAAAAATAAAAAAAAAAA